GAAGCAGAATGAGCAGCCCAAGCTCCTTCTGATATCCTAGCTTTTCGTTGGAAAACTGCTTCGACCGTTGCAATTTAGACGCTCCGAAGGCCAAATTCAACTACGATGCGCAACGATGGGACAGAGAAGAGGCACAAAGGCAATCATTACCGCTAATACTAACAGAACATCAACCGCCTCACCAACCCCTCCCTCCGTGATGACCATATGACTGGTCCTCACTGCAAGATTCCAGAATGGAATATGCTGTCTTAATAGCCCCGGTTGTGTGCGGAACGAAGTCTCATGTTATTGCTTGTCAACGTGTACAAGTTCGCCTTGGACGCTGCGTCCCATAACCCGCATCTCCCTCACAGATTCGTACTCTGGAAACAATCGCCAAAACCCGCATCGCTTCGTACAAGAGCTCTGAAGGGGCTGATGGAGAGAGGAGAGGGTACGGGCAGATGCCGATCACATTTGTAGCTACCAGCTGCTCTCCAGATGCCTGGCGCAGATTCCTCGATCCGAAGCCATTCCAAGTTCAAGACCAACGGCCGCAGGGAGTAGACAAGTTTGTCGGGTAGACTCTCCAGCTTTGCAAAGACTGGAATGTAATTCTTTATTCTCAATTTCTACTTCGATTGCATCAACTCCTTTGAACACGACCAAGAGGTTTTTAATGGAGGACAAAATGTGAGGCGTAACACAAAATTTGAAGTAATCCGAGCTTTCAACACTCAAGCACATGGGAGAGTCTGAGCTGAAGCCTTAATGTAGGCAGTTGTGGCGGTCGTCGTCAACCAACTATCACTGGATGTCAACATCCACCAATCCCCGATAGTCTAGTGGTGAGGATATCTGCTTGTCATTGAATTTCATCGATTCGCAGGGGACCGGGGTTCAATTCCCCGTCGAGGAGTATTTCTTTTGGTTTTTGAGCATGTGTGGGCAGTTCTTTTTGTTCTCAGGTTGGTTTTGTGTCTAAAATGTCGGGTGGCCCACTGGTCAGGCCCTTTTGTGGGTCGTTCGGAACTGAATTGCAGCCAGGTGCCAGCTTCCCCAACACAGAGCTTCGTCATGTAGTTAGCGCGGCGCGAGGGATCCAAGAGAAGGAGTAAATCCTTCATTATTCTAGTCCGAGCATCAAATACATTGATGAATTGAGCCGCCTCGCTCTCTGTTCTCTGTGGCCGTCCTCAAGTTGCCTAGGATGTTCAAAGTTACGTACAGTAAGCTGGGATACGAATCTGCAGAACGAGATGCTTGATCTATTCCAACTTCGCACTCACACCTTAAGAGCAGATGCCAGACAGCGGGTACTTGACGGATCCGGAAAGGTCTGGCCCCCTGATGGCGTCTGGGATTTTCGCAACGGGTACATCAATGTGACACTCTGCTCGAACTTACAGCAGTCAAGGGATAGCCATGCCGTCGATCATATCCATATGAACTAGCCCGGCGAAATCGTACTTTTTCGTACCAAGACAGGGAGGATGATCGGGGAAAAGATTCAGGAGACCAACGACTGATGTCTGGAGCAGCATACACTTCTCTTCAACACAAGCTACTCTGCCATTCGTTCACGGGTGATAACGTTTCTGTCCACTATGTTTCCAGGAACGATGGCACTATCACATATCGTGGATGTATGGGTATTTGAGGCCACGGTGGCTTTGGTAGGGTCATACCCGCGACAGACTACACCATAAATGTGTCCTGGAGACTTCTGGAAAGGCCAATCATTTGGATTCTTGAGCAACGTAGTCATGGCTTATTTTTTGATGACCCCCCTCTTATCATCTCTGTGTTGATCTTCACCATCTCTCATAAGCCGCGATGAGGTGAATCTTCTCATGAGCTCGGGTTACAACACCAAACCACATCGGAGTTCCACACCATTACTTCTTTGGTTACTCTAGTGCGTCGGATTAAAAAAAGGCATGACCGAGACTGGCGTGACTCAGACTCATATGACTGAGGTCAATGTGACTAACAGAAAGATGGACAAAGTCATTGACTTAGTAGACGACAAGTACTCTATCGCAAGATTGAACCCTTGGACAACCGCCAGGAGTGGCCGCATCATACCCATATCCACCTGACCGCAGGTATGAAAAGGAGTGAGAAGATCAATCAATGTTGTTCATTGGCGTTGCTTGAAGCCAGGGGCTGAAAACATGCGGGGAGAGTAGATAGGAGGATACTGGAGGAAGGGATATATTAACGTATTTGCTACTCGAAGAAGCAGGTCATGACTGTTAGTCCAAGTGCTACCTACTGTGATCATAACGTAGTTATCATAGCCATCATATACCAAACCACATATCCTGGAACACGGCCACATTCAAGGCATGTCTACAAGAGCAAGTCAACAGGAGCAAGCCAACGCTCTCGGTCTATAGAAGGACGCAATCCTGAATGAAGCAGAAGTCTCCCCCCTTGAGCAAGTGACATGGTACTCCTCCTTCAACATTCAAACCGATGATCCCAACCTCCATCACAACTCTTGGCCAGTACATACACGTGCCGCGACACTCTCAACATCAAACCCGCCAAAGTCTTCCCGAATCAGAGAAAGAAGGAAACGGTCCTCGTCAGCACCAAGAAAGTTAAGCCAGAGCATGCCAACAATACCAGAGGGCATTTCCATGTCCTCGTGGTCCTTGCCAAACAGCTGGCGGCGCCAGGCATCGTCAAGCTCCCTCTCGAGACAGATGAGATGACGCACGACATGCCAGCGCTCCGCGCGCTCAAACTTAATCTCTTCTGTATCCTCAACCTCTTGCTCATCCGTATCACCATTGTGCGCATCGGTCGGCCTTGGGAGCGATGGCGGAGTATCGTATCGAAGTCGGTTAAGTCGAAGCGTGGCCCAGAACAGCTGTCGAGCCCCATTGAAAAGGTCTTGTTCGACTTCTTCGACGCTGCGAACGTGAATGCCACGAAAGCCTCGCACGTTGACCCCAACCATGGATACCGAGTCGTCGGGCCCGAGGACAAACGACGGATCAATGATGGCCGAGCTCGGCCGAGAAACAGCAAGCTTGTCAGGGTGGCAATCGTCGTCGTTGTCGGTGCCCTTCTTCTTATTCTTCTTCTCCTGCTTCTTCTGCTTCTTCCAGTCCTCGAGTAGCGACTCGCCAACCTCCCGAGACATGTTCGCAGCAACACCAGACCAATCGGGATGCAAAAATCCATCGACCCAGGGAGCCCATTCGCCGGTGGGACTCTTCTCGGGAGTGGCACCCAGGTTGACGAGGATCCGGCGACGGCTTTGCAGAGCGGCTTTGATGCGCGGCAGGGCGACACGGTCAAAGGCGGCGCCCCATGATGAGCCATCTGGGCGGACGTAGCGCATCTCAAGCATGAGTTCATCTTGTTTCTTCCACTTCAATTCGCTCGTCGTAAGGCGGTTGGCGATGATGTGACGCATCATTGCCTTCTTACACGACGCCCCAAAGCAGAAGTTCGTGGTTTCGGCTTTCGCAAGGTAGGTAACAGACTGGTCACAGATGTGCTCCTCATCGTTTGTTGGGCACATGGCAGGCATGAATGGAGGAATGTGAATGAGGAACAACGTTGAGCGTGTGAGTAGGTGTGCGTACTCATGAGAGAGGGAATGAGATGCATGAGTGAGAGAGGTCAACTGAGAAGATGACGATGAAGGACACGGACCAAAAGAGAGAGAAGCGGGGGAGGAAGAGAGAGAGAGAACTGTGAGACACGCGACCGTTTGCTCAAGGATGAAAAGACGGAAAGGATTGATCACTGTGCAAACGAAACTCTCTAGATGCATCTTCAAAGCTCGCCTGGCTCGTCAAGAGGAGGAGAAACACGCCCCTTCGGTACGCGTCACGTCACAACACCAACAAGCCACCATAAGCGCAATCCAAACCCGACACGGCGTTCCCATCTTGATAGTCCGTCCAGTAAGCCATCATGAGCAACGGTCGAGATCCCCCGGTCTCTGCCCGTACCAGGTCTGCGGCATCCACTGGTATCATCAGCGATGCGATGGCTGCGGAGATTGAAGAGCAGTTCCGACTACCCGTTGGTCACCCAAACAGACAGAATGATGAAGCTGTGAGGGCCAACTGGCGAGTTCTCTACCAGGACTGGTTGAACGGAAAGATGAACAATCTTTGCCGCAATCGTCGTGAGTCTCGGTCTTCTCCCATGCCGCTTCTAAGCCACAAAATAGAAGAATGCGAGAAACTGACAAGAGATGAACACATACAGCAGACCAGTGGTCCCGCGCCAATGCCAGCTCCAGCATGAGCACCGCGACCGCCCTCTCGGCTCGTCGTTTCAACGGCTCCATCCTCGATGTGGACGGTCTTTCGAACGTTGACTTGAGCACCGCAGCCTCGGACATGCGTAGACGCATAATTGGCATCATCAACAAAGACCCCGAGCACTTTCGAGCCGAGATCGAGCGACGACGACAAGCACATCAGCAGCAGCAGGACAAGGATAAGGGAAAGGATACGGGAAAGGGACCCGAGCAGCAGCAGCCGCCGCCGCCGCCGCAACAGCGCGCTCTAGCACAGCTGCGAAGAGCAGGCGCAGGAGGAGCAGGCATCGCTGGATCCGACTTTCACTCGGCCACGCAGATTGACAAGCGAATGGATCAGCTGCTTGCCCAGCAGGAGGCTTCGCTCCTGGAGGCCCTGCGCATTGAGTGCGAGATGAAGGCGCTGTGGTGGCTGAAGCAGCGTGCAACTCAAGGACCAAAGTGAATTCGTCATCTGCAGAGCCATGCTAGCTAGCTCCTGTACTCTGTTTGCACCTCACCAAGATGCAGACTACGTCGTCCTCGTAACATGAAAGGCAGGCAGGAGAAACTCAGGGATTCGCGACATAGAGATAGCAGACAAGGAAGAGGACAAGGAGACGTGTAATTCGAAGTTTTGAAAGCAACGGAAAGTGGAAGACGGAGGACGAAACTTTTGATTCGCAATGTTGGAACAGCTCATGTAACTATCATCGTACATCATCCGTCAACTCAAGGAAACAAATCACAAACTGCCCGTCAACATCAGCCTCTTGAACAATTGGTCCGCCTCAATGACGCTGCGCCTCGCATCCAACTGCCAGTCCAGCGCTAGCCGAATGTGGCCCACGAGTGACTCCTCGTAACTGACGACGGGCTTCATAGTCTCGTGGGCAGGCACCGGGATCCGGTCGCTGCTGGAAACAACAGTGCTGTTGCAGTCGCCATCGTGTACTCCGGACATGACAACAGACCGGGGGGCGCGAGTGTTGCTGGAAATAACTGTGGTGTTGGCGACGACGGTGCTGTTGCAGTCATCGTCGTTACTTTGTCCCGGCATGACGACAGACCGTGGAGCGTAGGTGTGAATGGGAACAACGGTGGTGGCGGAGACGACAGTGCTGTTACAGTCATTTTGTTGTCCAAGGTTCAGATAGGTGGGATACGATTGAACGAGGGTATTCTCGGAAACCACTGTACTGTTTGCCACCACGGTATTGTTGCAGTCATCTTTGTGGCCAATGGACGCAGCAGGAACAGCAGCAGCATCAGGAAAAGGAGGAGGAGGAGGCTGAGCATGGCTGCTATCGCTAGCAACGGTGGCATTGAGAGTGTGACCTGCCCAAGAGACATCGCTGGCGGCCTGTAGGTCTGGAAAGTCAGGACCGGATGTCTGAGCTCCGTTTGGCAAAACGGCAGGACTAACCGCCGAAGCCGAAGTCGGCGAAGCACTGCTCGAGAGGTTCGAAGCGAGAGGATCTAACCGCTGCCACGCGGGGATGATTTCGGTGGCCACGCTGGCCGCGAGAGCCGCGAGGGCCGCGCTTCCCCCCCCGGTGGTTGGCGACGAGGTAGGCGGCTGTAGATATGGGCTGCTCGAGGTTGACGAGAGTCTTGCGTCGGCGTGTAAGCCGGGGTCGGCGCCAGGGCTGGTGATTGCCGTGTCGAGGTTGACGTTGGGCCAGCGCGGGGCTTGAGCGGGCCTGGGCGGGGTGTGAGCTTACACTGAGAGGATCATGATGGTATGAGCTGTCTGAATGAACATGGAGAGAGAACTGCTGGCTTACATGGGGCTTGGAGGCAGAGCCGAAGACAGCGAAGAAAGAGATGACAGAGCCGAGGACGGAACTGAAGTCGTAGCTGGAGTCGTAGCTGGCGTTTCTGGAACGGGAATCGAAGTCAGAGCCTGAATTGGAGCTGCACCCGGAGCCGGAATCGGCTTGATGATCGAGGTTGGCGTGGTAGCCAAAAGCCAAGGGTCAACAGAGCGGGCAGTGGAACCAACGATAAACGTGGTGGCCAAGGAGTTGGGTACTGGGGCAGCGAGAACCGGGGGGAAACGAGCATCGACATCGCGGGTATTCCGTTTGCCGAGGGTCCGCAGCCAAGCCTGAACGGTGTCGACAGTCTGGAACCAGGTGCCCGTGATTTCGGGACTCCAAACGTGGATGCCATTACGTAGCTGGACGACGCGGTTATCGATGACCCATTTGCGTGCTGTATGGCGGACCTTCTCGCGGAATTGGGTGAGAACGACTTTCTGGAAGCGAATGGTGGCGTCGACGGCGGTGGCCTGAAATGGTCCCATGTGGCAGAGGGGTCGGAGGTATTCGAGAACAAAGTTATCAAAGTCGGGCCTCTGGACGTCGGAGGGGAGAAGGTTGTGCTTGAAGAGTTCGTAGAGGATGGTGGCGCGTACCAAGAGGCACCAGCCAATGGCCTTTTTCTTCGACGCTGCGTAGGACTCGACAGGCACGCAGCAGACCTCCTAGAATGCACATTAAGTTAGTCTTTGCATCATGTACGACGAGCACGATGCAGGCGGAAGAGGGCAGACGGAGAATGTGCAGGATAAGAGGCAACGGAAGAGGAGGGCCTCGAAAACGGGAAGTACCCACGTAGGCTGTGTTCGAGGTGCACATGACGGCAAATTGGGCGTGGTCGGATACAAAGAGTTTGACGCTGCGTAGGGAAGACTGAAGAGTTGGTATTCTAAAAGAGAAGAGCCCGAGAACGAATGGAACAGTCGACGGGATATAAGCTCTCGTGAATATCGTCAAACACCAGAGTCCCCAATCTCAACCTCGTCAGCGTCCTGGTTCTCAGCCGCAGGCTCCTCCTCGCCAACCAGCTGCTGCTGTGCTCTCACCGATGGTAAGTTGCTGAGACGTCGCAGGCTGGATGCCAGAGTGCATGAACTGGTTCGACCAGGCTGCAGTAGTTCGCCAGTGGAGCTGTCTTTCCATGGTTCGTCCGCATTGCATTTGTGGTTCGTCGCTGCATTGGTTCGTTTGTCATCCACGCGTTCGTCTTCAGCTTGTGTTCAGGCCAGTCCTCAGCCAAACTCCCGCAAGTCTCGCAGTTGTAATGACGACCATGATCTGCCCGCAGCCATTACCAGCGGTAAGGCACAGGTGTTTGGATGTCGGTTCGGCCGTCATGCACTGCCCCAAGGTGTATGAACTAGGAGGGTGAGTCCATTCGGAAGGGTAGCCTGTTCCATGGGGCAGTCAGTCCTAGATTCAAGACAAACACTTCACGATGAATTGGACCAGTACCTCAAGTTTTAGCCCACGAGATTCTGACCGCTAGATATAGGATAGGAGAGACACAGAGAGAGAAAGACGCAGAAAAGACGGGGCCGATAGATGCAGGAAGGAGAATGTGGGGGGACAACGGAGACGGCGATGTGAAGATGTGAATAGAGGGAATGAAGAGAGAGAGAAAGACGGACCATAAGTACTTAACATCCTCTGCCGTGCTCTCTCCCACGTCTCTGCTGCAAAACTGTGTCGATTTCTCGGCATCATTCCTGCCACGACGGTGTCAATTTCTTGATGCCGTCATCTACCAGGACCGCATACGCTTATTCCTCGGCGTTGTTCATTGCGTCAATGGTGTCGATTTCTCGATGCTGTCTAACTATGTGACCATGGTGGATACATCGACGTTGTTCGCTTGTGGCGGTGGTGTCGATCTCTCGATGCCGTCCTCTGCGAGGACCACACTGGTTTCTCAGTGCTGTAGCCTTCCCTTCCCATAAGGTGTCGACTTCTCGATGCTTGGTCAACCTCGCGACCGCGCCGACTTCTCGGCGTTGTTCGCTTCCGTGATGGCTTTCGATTTCTCGATGCTATTCGTATGCTAACCGTGTCAACTTCTTGATACGGCGAGCTCTCCAAAACCCCTCTCAGTCACCAACCAGGTGGCCAAGCCTCATTTCTGAGGCTGAGCGGTAGCTGATCTCTCGGCTGCCTTGGTTGTCACCGTTGACGTAACCCACTCTCCGTGATGGGCGACATCGCGGTGGCAGAGACCGACACTGCTTCCAGATGTTGGTTTCCCTGGTTCTGGCTCTCCTCCGTCCTCTGCTCCGGCTTGTAAACCCAATCCATCGTCCATAGGCCAGATGGCGCTTACCCAAGCCCACTGATGTTTGGCGGCGCGGTCCAGCTCGAAGAGGCGGCGCCGAAGAGGAGGATCAACGGTGATCTGGTGGCGTACATGCTTCGCTCCAGCATCCCGAGCCGCAGCAGCCGATTCCAGCTCCCGCAAACGGCGCTGTGCGTGGATGATGTGGGCCGTCAAGGCTTCCGGTGAGGGGAACTCACAGTATGCAGCTCCATCGCATGGTTTCCCACCATCAGCCTGAACCGCCGTCTTGGCAAGCCAATCCAGTGACGTTCCCACAGTCTCGCGTGCCGCCTCGAGAGTCATCAAGGCCTCATTCACCAACCCGCGAACAGCATCGCGGCGGGGTGCTAGTTCCTGTGTCAGAAGCTTTACGTAAAACACAATGTCTTCGCTCCACCAGGGGCTGCCGCTGCCGCTCTCGCTACCCTTCGGGGTTCTATGGCCCGGAGAGACGACCTCGTTGTGTGACATGTCTACGAGCATATGAATGACGGCGTCCTGAAGTAGCTGAGACTTGTGGAGATGGTGCTCCAAGGCTTTTAATTGGCGCACCCAAGCATCCATGTTCTTGTGGGAAGACTTGAGGTAGCCAAGAAACGACTGAGCGAGGGCGCCAGTACTTGTATTGTATTGATCGTATGTGGTGGTGGTGAATTTCGGTGTCGGTTTCGGTGCCGGCATAGAGTCAAGGTCATCGCGCACATTGACGAGTAGAAGGATGAGGTTGGATTCCCACGTCGTGTGATCGGTGCGAGACATGGCTTGAAGCAGAACGGCTGCATCGCGTGCGTTGTCGGCTAGGCTCTTGAAAGCGTCGAGGTATTTAGTTGACGTAATAGGTGAAGTCTTTGTAGAATGAACGTGACGGGCGAGATTAGACAGCTTGGATGTGACCAGAGAGTATGATAGGAGCTGGTCTGCTGGCCACCAGATATCGCAGGGGTTTCCTTTGAGGTCGTGATGGTGAAAGCGAAGAGGGAGGAGGCTGAGAGAAACGGACTCGACGTGGGAGAGCATATGACGCGTATCGAGCATTCGGGAGCGATAACGAGACGGTGATGAGCCATAGGCGTCGAAGGAGAAGACAGACTGAGGATGATAGACCGTGTATAGCAAGAAAAACGCCATCAAGAGTGTCATCACCATGACAAGCGTCCCCTTCAGCGTTGTACCGCGCCGTGAGGGCAGCTCCTTCTCTGGCTTGGACGACAATTCGGGCGACGGATCGGACGGACTGGAGGTGGTGCAAGCGGGGAGATGTATAGTATCGACCGTGAAGGAGCGACCGCAGCCGTCGGCGTGGTAGGGATTGCCATCTTCGCCGGTGGCATCGTCGTCGTCGTTGAGCTCTGAGCATAGGGAGACTTGATTTTGGCAGTAAAAGTGTACAGTGTGAGAGGTAGTTTCGGATGCGGACGCCGACGAAGACAATGGTGTCAAAAGCCAATCGTCATGGAAGCAAAGCGCGACGTGGCGGGTGATGGAATCGTCGACGGATCGGGGGAATGACAAGCTGAGGGACACCCGGTAAAATCGAGGAGGGGCATCCTCATTCTCCCAACGGCTGTGGCAGCTGTTGTTGGTGTCGGTATCGACATTGATGTTCTCCGAGTCTTGGTCTTCTTCATCGTGGGGTTGCTGCATGATGGACGGCGGGTATTGGTGGTCCTGTCTGGGACATGGGAGATGGAGGGAGAAGCATCGCAGCGGCGGTCAGAGACAAGATATCGGTGGTGCATTCACTGGTGAGAAAGCTCAAGGGGAATTCCGAGTATCTGTGCATTCGTGTCGAGTGCGTGGTGTCGTAATGTCCGTTTGCTTCTGATTGTCGTTTGCCATTGTCGTTAATTGAGCTCTCCGCCGAGGGAAAGTCCAAAGGAGACAATGATGTCATTACCAGCTATCTATGAGTGCGCGGAAATGCAATACAAGGTATATGAGTTAAAGAGGGATACAAGTCTTCGTTTCCGATTTCTTTTCTCGATGGTGGGACAAACGGACAGATGAAAGGAAGGACGTTGGAGGGGTGGAGGGGTAGAAGGTAAAAGCGGCTGGATAGAGCGTGGCGTCTGGGATGTGGCGCCACATTTGTGGCGTATATGGCTTTTGCGAGCCATCGACCATAAGGTAGATGCGCCACAGGGGCGCTCAGGCCAATCAATGTGGCTGGCCAATAACAACCGGCTCCAAATGCTGCCGGCTCCAAATGCTGCCGACTCCAAAAGCTGCCACATGCACGGTTGAATTTGTCACAGCCACCTACCAGCTTGCATAGCACGTAAGGTACCTAGCAACATACAGAGAGATCAAGCAGTTCTAACACAACTTGAGGAGCCCATCATTCGGCTGACAAAAGATGGCCCACGTTGACGGCATTAGACACTCAAATGAGCGCCCATTGTTTCCTGCCACCCAAATGCCCAAAGGTAATGTTGTGCAGGTGTCTCTGCTACCGGACCGTTCGATGGCGCCTGGACGGACTCCAAACGCCTGGAGCCCCACTACTTGCCGCCCTCTGGACGTCTAGCGTTCCACCTGCCACCAGCTGAGCCGGGGCACGACGGGACAGATACGATGTACTTCTCTTGTACCTTTTCGATGCCATCACCACATCCTCATCTCATGCTAGCACAGTGCCGAGCTCCCATCCAGCACAAGTCAGTTGCACATTCGAATTATGCAGTTGGAAACGTGCAGCCCATGAACTCATTCTGTTCGTGCTGCCTCGCATGGATGGTATGTTTCGCATTGGCAATTTGTTGATTCTGTTCCCGCTCCAGTCTAGGTGTTCCGTATCCGTATGCATCCCGATGCTCTCATCTCCGTCCTATCGATCAGTAACATCAATTGAGAAATGACAAAACTTCCCCCGCGTCCAACGATCCCCATACCGACAACCCACCCGACATTGCCAAAGACCATGTCTTCTCCCTCGATTGACAACTCGTCTAACGTTGTCGCTGCTGTTAAGTCTGCCGGCAAGCCTACTGACGCCGTCATGGGGGCCGTGTCTTTCCCCGCGACTGGTACTTCGTCCAACATCATCACCGCCGACAACCGCGTATGATCGATCAGCAACATGAAGCAAAAAATGACAAACGAGAAACGGCCACTGTGCGCTTCCCCCCCTCTCCTACAGCCCTCAGCCCCAATCCCAGCACCAAAGAACCAGAAAAATCTAGCGTTTTCGCCGCTCATGCTTCAGGTACTCCAAACACTCCTTCATCTCGTCCCATGTGAAACCACGGGTACCAGGCGGTGGATGTTCTTGCTCCTCTTCGATAACAAGGTACTTTGGCTGTTCTCGATCTCGTGACGAGCTAGCAGCATCGGAATTGGCCTCCCCGCCTTCCTCTCCCTCAGGCCATGCCCCCGATACCCGGATACCCAATGGCAAAGAAGCAGACGGAGTAGCGGAAGTAGGAGGTGGTGGAGAAGGAGGGGCAGTAGTAGCGGGAACAGGGGAAAGAAGAGGGGAGTAAGGAAGTATGGACGGAAGAAGAGAGGGAAGCAGAGGGCATGCTGGCTCCTGCGCGATCGTTTGACGGTGACCTTGGACTCGGACCTGGCCCTCGGCCTGGACCTGTGTTCTCGCCGACGTTCTAGGCTCGTTGTACTTTGCTTGGGGTTTGTTCGAGCAACTTCGTTCTGTTGAGGGCTGCATCGGCCGCGTTATGGGCCGCGTCTTGGGCTTCATTGGGGGCTTCGTCGGGGGTCTCATCGGGGGCTGCGTCGTAGACTGCGTCTTGGGCTTCGTCGTAGTGTTCGCTGTAGGCTTCGTGGTGATGGTGGTGGCAGCCTTCTTTCCAGACTCTTTGGGATCCTTCGAGGTCTCCTTGGGATCCTTCGACCCCTCTTTAGGCATCGGCACCTCTTCTTCGTCTTCTTCTTCTTCTTCTCCTCCTCCTTCTCCGTCCTGTTTGGTCGCAAACTTTGTCAGCGGAACGACCTCCATTAGTATCATCAGGGTCCAAGGACCAAGGTAGACTGGATAAAGCGGCATACAGCAGGATACTCGGGTAGCGACACCCACTCCCCTCGTGTCAAAAAGGATGGTAGCGATTGTGGCAGCAATCCCCAGTTCTCAGGCCACATTGGCTCATCCGGATCCATTTCCGTCGGGTCGGGAGCAAGCAGCTTGGCCCGGCGTAGGTGGGCTTTCGTGATGCAATTGGCATACTCGTGGGGCGGATCTTGGGCAGCAAAACGCTGGAGCTGACGGGCTCGCCATATCCAGTTGACTGCCATGGCGAGAAGGGCTAAGATCGATAAAAAGAGAGACTGAACGACCGATTAGAAGGAAGGAGAGAGGACATACGTGACAGTTTGTGAACATATATCTGGTGCTAGATCTATCATTTTCTCAACTGTCGTGTCCGCGGTCCATAAGGCCAGCCCTGGAGGCCCTGATCATCAGCGTTTGAGGCCATGATCCATCGACATAACCGCTTCATGAAAGAAATGCCAAGATGACGCTTCACATGCCGCTTCCCGTGTCTGCCACCACGCCCCTTTAACTTGTCAAATCCTGTCAGCTTCGCCCAGCCTTCGTCTTGGATCAGTGCTATCCTGCCCCTGGCATCACTGCATCGCCAGCCAATGCTTCCCGCAGAGACTCCTCAGCACGGGCTCCCGGTCTACCGCGATCGTGAGAGGCAACAGGATCACCTTGTCGTAGTACTTTCGCATCTCCTTTCGCGTCATCAGCACGTCCATGACGGCAAGGTACAGCGATCGCTCCTCGTCCAACTCGTGTATCTTCCTGCCGCCCTTTTTCTCTTCTCTTTGCGCCCCAGCCACGTGCCTATCCCATGCCCGCCACAGGTCCAGCTCGACAGCCTCAGCAGTCTTTGACGGCGCCGGGTTGTCGCTGCCCAGGAACTCGTACAGTGTCTGGACTTCGTTTGACATGGTCTGTGCCTGCACGCGGTGGTGGAGTATGCAGAGCTGCATATCGACGCCTGTTAAGAGAAGAGACAAGGTCAGCTCGTGATCTTCAGAAGTACTCATAGCTACGTACTTTGTTGCTTTGGCGTTTGGATGATCGTCGTCTTGTATCGTGAATTGGATCTGTACGTATGTAGCCCCATTCCGCCATACAGCATGCATCCGATACCGACGACGCTCATCATAGGGTTAAGAAGCCAGAATATCGATGAGCCGTCGATGCCATGGTGAAAGATGTTGAACTGGGATCTCAGACAGCCTCAGCTAGAAAGGGTGGAGATGCGGTCCGCGGCATCTTAATATAGTCCGTGACACCGACAAGGAGGCTGCGAGAACTGACGACGGTCTCTTTGGAAATGGATGATTTCTGCTCGGATGTTCGCCCTGTTTTGCTGGGTGCTTCTCGTTGGGTTCATGATGCACTCTCTGCTTGTCCAGAAGTTGCCAGCCTTTGCTGAAGATAGTGTTTCATCCGCCTTGTCTGTCAAGACAAGAATGTGATGGAACTGGAAAGTCGTCGCCCAACCTTTGTCCCTTTGTGTTCTGCGTCATGATATCTCTAGTTTCTTCTGACCCTTTGCCTCATCTACCTGAGACAGGCCGCGAGGAGACGATGGAACTCATCGCCCGTATCAGTCATTTGCCTCTCGCAACGCAGTATTTTCCAGCCTCATCTATCACAGTCCAGCTTCATCTTCTTTCGGCTTACCCAGCTTCTCCTTTCCTGGGTCTCTGATGCGTGATGCCGTGTCCTTCCTACGTCAGCGCGGAGATATAAACACATTGTCTTGTTGGAAATCCAAGTCACCTGTATAAACCTCATGTCAGATAACCCCTTTACGCAAACGTTCGCTCGAGAAAATGCCACCGGATAGACACAAAACACCCGCCGCGGCCGACGAACAACACGTCACACGCGAAACTCTGTCGTCCGCCAGGAGTTTGTTGAGGGCCTTGAAAGCGGAAAAAGAAGCGGCCGCGTCAGAGACAGCCTCAGTAGCTAGCGTAGTCGCAAGTCCAGCCGTCGCATCGTCGTCATCCGCTCTCTCTTCCGCAGTAGCTCCAGTCATATCCCCAGCCGCTGGATCATTGTCGTCCTCGTCCACTCCCTTCTTTTCCTCCTCAGCTCCAGTCGCAGCTCCGATCGCAGCTCCAGCCGTCACCTCATCATCGTCCATCGCTGCTACCGCGGCCCCAAACTTGTCATCATCATTATCTTCCTCCCGACGCCGAGAACGACAAAAAGAACGGATTTGCCTGTCGGATAGGCCTAGCAATGACCCGCAACATCAGGTCTTACTGCAAGCTCCGAAAGTCTTGACACCAGGTCCAGCTCAAATGCCACGCCATACTCTGGAGCAGCGAGAACCTAGTCTAACACGACGTATCCTCGTCTTCATCGTGTACCGCGTCATATTCTTGCACTGGCGTGGCACACTGGTCATCGGTTTGGTCTTGGCTGTAGCCGCAGTTGCGACATTTGTATCGGCTCACCCATGTGTCTCCCTCGGCATCATGGCAGGCGTGCTGCCCGTCGGTGCCGGTATGGCTTCCACATCGTACAGCCTTCTTTGCGATGTGGCTGGTCTGAAGAACAAGAACAAGGCAGACGCTACCATGAATGCAACACACTACCAGCAGGCGTCGTTGTCCTTCACTCTCGTCAACACCAACTTTCCAAGCTTCTCGTTCGGCATCAGCAGCACGGCACATGCTGTCACGAATGTCATTACGAGCGATCCATCGCACGGTGTGTTGACAACCGCTTCTGATATGCCAGCCAAGGATACCCTCGGCAAGGTCGATGCCGCGCTGCAGAAGCATTTCCGGCAACGGTTGCCGCGGGAGCAGCGTTGGTACGCCGATATGGCGTCCAAGATCAGAAAGGCTCCGTCTGCCAAAGCGGTGCACCAGGGGGCTGGGTGGATGTGGTGGCGGGGTCCGGCGATACAGGCACGAGCGGTAGCTTCGGCAATGGCAAGGGCCCGCGCGATACTGGAGGCAGTGGAGGAGGCGCTGACGGCGCGACATGAAGTAGTGAGAATTCTGACAGTCAGCGAGACGTTGAAGGCAGCAGCCCACGCGCTTCGAAACACGTGCGCATGGAAACAGTTGCTAGAGCAGAAGCCATACATTGCCGAAAGGTTCGTCAAGGAGCATTACGCCATAGACGTGGACGGAGATGCAGCCAACTTCGACAGCAGCAACACCGCGGTGATCAAGAAGGAGTTGGAACTTGCACTGGCTGAAGTATCGCGTGCGCGGGTTCTCTGCCGAGGATCCCATGTCATGACTGAGGCGTGGGATCAGTTGCAGGAGCGTATCACCAGGCGGGAGATGGAAGACTTACTGATGGCCAAGGGCAAGCTCGAAGATCTCTTGGCCACCGGACCCATATCTGGGGCCTTGGCTGAGAATGGTGTCGGGGTAGCTGATGAAATAGACGATTGGGAAGGGCGATTGTATGAAGTGACGGTCAAACTTCTCGACAGCATCCAGCTTGTGTATGGCGACTTTTAGGATGGAGGCAGGGTGGAATTCATCGATAGACTTTCGTAGTTTTTGGCGCAAGTGATAGAGATGGAGTTGGCAGCATTAAGGCGTATGGAGGTATTGTGAGATGTCATTGCCTGGAGTTGTCGTTCACAGCACACCTCAGGCAGCCCGGCAAAACCGTGGGGCATGCTGTCAAAGGGTATGTCACTGGCACTTCTTGATTGGGGTTGAGTTTCGGGAAACTCACGTCCATCTTATCTCTCTTATCTGTGCGCCATTTCCGTCTTATCTCAATGCTCTTCTTTGCCTTAAGGTACCGACCTCCCTTAATAGCAGGGCATTGATGTTTGGCAGCAGAAATGTTGCTGTCAAGTGCATTCCAAAGCAGCAGATCTACCATTCAACAGCACCGCTTCTGCTACTTGAAAGCAGCATTGATGCGCTTGACAGAAGGGCATCATCTATGTGCTCAACAACAGCAGACCCAACAGCAGCACTGATGCTGTCAAGTATCCTCTTCACCTCACTGCTGCTGCGTACTGTGACCCTCCAAGACGGTGTATTTTGAGTCAAAACACCGGACACCAGGCTGTGAAACGAACCGAAGTACATACATGGCTTGAGAATGACTTGGAATTATCATGAGAAAGGGACATCCGGATCAAGATTCTTGGCGACAATGGACCTCATGGCCCATCCATCCTGTACCTTGGTCAATGTCCCAGTCTGAAGACAAAGCGAGTCGCAGCACGGCATTTCCGAGACAACAAGAGTGGCCAGACTTGAGAACAAAATCTACCTTGGTGATTGAAGAGAACCATTCATCACACTCTGACTATCCTCCCTCTTTCTACCAGAGCATCTCCCTGTCCTTGCTGACTTCAATCCTTGATGAATTTTCCTGAGTGCATGACCCCTGCCAGTTGCTCGCCCGCTCATTGTACGTCTTTTCCCCAAGACAATATGGTTCCAAGCGCCCGCAATTCGTGATTCGTGATTGCGATTCATGACCTCGTGCAAACGTATTTCATGACGAATTCCCGTTCAATTACTGCGCATCATATCAGAATTCGTCGAAGCGCGCAGCTCCACGTTGAGTGGTCAAGATGCTTGCAATGCACAAGCTGTATGCATCCTGGGCCATCGATAGCGCTTCCTTGCCTTCATCTGCGCCCTTCGCCAAGATGGTTGGATGGGAAATGTCTTGGGGAAGAGTCAACAACGCTGTCTTGGCTACCAACTGGGGTGATCTATCAAGCTATTGAATATGTCGGCATTGATATCTGGAGGCATGTCGACGTCCTTCTCGCGAGCCTCCATTACTGGACTGGATTGCGTCGCAGCAAGAGCTGAATTCAGGCTCCAGTAAATGCTTGTCCTCTTTTGAGCATCAACGTATTTCTTCTTGGCTCCTCAAGCCCTTTGACCAGCCTCGTATGCCAATCATGTCAGAACTGCGTGCTATGCCATCACCGTGTCTTAGCTCGCTACCCTCGCGCGTCAGGCAAAGCGCTGTACTTTCTAAGTGTGGAAGTTGCCAATTTGCAAGACTCTTTACGAGATTGCAATCGAAGTAGCATCGATGACTGACTGCCTCGTGGTATGCTGGGCTGCGAAGGTGTGATAGTCGGCTAGCTCGTGGGATTGTGCTGTCGACTGAGGCCGAGACTGAAGCTCTCTCTATCTCTCACCCTGTCTGTCGCTATTCCCCCCCCCCCCCCCTCTCTTCATAGGAAAGCGCTGAAGCCTTCTCGCAAAACATTGCATGAAAACGTTCGGGAAGGGAGACGTCGTTCAAGGGATTGCGGATATGGCCTTGGGAGAGCGTGGCAGCGGCAGCGATGACCTCAACAGCACAGTCAAAGCCTAGGAAAACGTGGCAGCGACAGCGATAATCTTGATAGCACAGTGGAGTCTGAGAGAACGTGGCAGCAGCAGCGATGATCTCAACAGCATGGTCAAGATTATTTGGCTGCATGGGACCCTGTTGCCATATTATGCGTTAGATGATTCGTAATTATTCAGAGAATGAAATGTAAAGACCCGCAAACCAATGATCAATACTCAACGAGACAATCAGGCAAGAACTTACTTTGATGGCAGCGACGGGCTGCACCGTTTGAGCTTACGCAACCATTGAGGGTAGGACAGGACGTGGCCTTTGACGAGGCACGCTGTGAGGTCCTTGTCAAGAAAGTCTTAGAACTGAGGAGACTGGATCTCAGACTGATAGCGGTAGAAGACTCAATGCCAATTGTTATCGTTTCCAGGAAGAAGAACCGACTCGCGCTCGACTTCAGGAAGAAGCCATCTGGGTGTCTTGTTCTAAGAGACCCACTGGCAGGTTACCACGAGGATGCCGATCATGCTCACTTTGTCGCTTCTTGTGTGTCCACAAAGGGAGTTTACAGTCAAGCTGTTGGGAAATTGACCGGGCGTGATCCTAAGGAGACTGGCAACGATTTCTCATCTGGTGAAGCGACTGATGTGCTATGTGGCTGAGTAGTGGCAACACGAGCTGCGCAAAGACTTGGCTATGTTGTGCAAATTCTTCGAGATGCTCAGATACTTGGATGTTGTTCTTCAACGGCTTTGACGTCTGACAGACTTTGACGTCCTGTCTCAAAGGCTCTGAAGTTTTGGAGACCTGGAGTTCCTGTTGTAGTGGGTTCTGTGGATGCTTGGGTGTACCCCTTGATTGATCCTGAACATATTGAGGCCGGAGATGAGTCGGCGAAATAGGCTTGATGGATGACTCGTTCGACGTCAGTGGGGGATCACGGGTGGATGGGTGAGGCGGAGGCCGGTTCGAGATTGAGACCAGTGTCGGTATTCTTCAACTGCCAAATGGCGCCAACACATGTGCACATCTGCCCGAATATTCCACTCGTATGCGCCTATGAATAGTTAGGAACATGTTGAAAGTCGGAGGAAGACTAGAGACGGACATACTAACACATCGTCAATGGGAATAAGTATCAGGTGCCTGCGAAATACAGTTTCGTTCTGCCTTTAAACTGTGAAGATCTCAATCGCCGTGTATAAGGAAAAGGAGGAAGCCGCCAAGGTCGCGGGTTGAGCGCCTTGTTCGGACGGCTCTGAATCCCCAGAGTTCCCAGAGTCCAGAGAGATTGGCGAGAGGTCAGGCCCTAGCGCGGCGATTGGCTCGGCTGCTATGATTGAATAGCTCCATATTGTCCAGCAATATGTTGCTAGGTAGGCTGTCATGTACGGCTGTCTGTGATCTCACCAGTTTCTTCTTTTTCTTTCGAGGAAGAAGGAGGCTATCATTGTACGTTCGTTTGATTGGAGATAGCAAGCTTGGAGGAAAGAACAAAGGTATCTCAGCGGCTAGCTGAACGCCGTCTGCCCTTGAAGGGCTGCTTCGAACCCTTTCAAACCAAAGCTTTGGGCGTATCGGCCAGAGCCGTCTGTCGTCTGCGGTGTAACAGGACAGCATGATGCACGACTTTCTGAAGGGCTTGCGCCGACAAATCGTGTGAGTGGAGGGTTCGGGGGCTGAGATGCGATACTTACTTCTGGCCCCCCGCCTCCCCGGTTGAAGGGAAGTGCTTCATTCCTCCCGTTGAAGGGGAAGTGCTTCATTTCCCCTCCGTGTTGATGAGAAGTGCATAAAAGCAGCGCAGCGATCAAGAGCCCTGTATCCCATAGCCCACAGCGTCGCGACTGCCCAAGCGACCCCATACGCAGTTACGTCTCGGCCGGCGGCGACATCTCCTCAAGCGTGCAGCGTATACAGTAACGTGCAGTAGTCCGCTTGAAGTTGGGGAAGCTGTGATCAATTAGAAAGCTGCAAACCTTCAAGATAACAGCCTTGGAGGGGCGTTCCAGAGCTCAGAGGTTGAGGAGGCTGCGAAACGTAACGGGTTGGTGGCGGTGGTTCTGTGCTCCGCGGAGAACGTACCTCGAGGTCTTTCCAGCGCTCCACGAACACTTTGGTAATCTTCTCGATGGTATTGTGTTCATGCTCGCAGCGGTTGAAGGAAGTAAGAGCGCAATTGGGGAAATGCTTGGTTTTCGAACTTGAAGCCGCCGTCGAGGGACTGTTCATTCGTCAGCACCATCATTCACGTAATTATCCGTGTTGAATAGATGCACACCTTCACCGCCTTGTTCTTGACGATCTCGAAACCACCCATAAGAAGGCTGCACTCCGTAATAAGTCCAAGATGAAGTCCTTCCGAGCTATGATCGGTCGCAGCTCAAGCGGTTGCCGGCAATCAACCTGCGCAACTTTGTCATGCTCTCTTCGCGCTTCAGCCAATGTTGCTCCGATTCCCTGCCCTCAAAGTACATCATCATTTCGCTCAAAATGTCGTCTAACTCGCGCTGGGTATTGGCATATGACGGCTCGACCTCGCTTCGCGTTTCGGGGGCTGGAGTAACGGGGCGTTCTCCCCGCCCCGCAATCATGACCCCATTGGAGTCATGACCCCATTGCGGTTTTGAATTTGCATCTCGCGGAGCTACGTGACAATCAGTTGGCATCTGGAGAGGAGAAGTCAAAGTGGAAAGGTCCAGATCCGACGACAAAGAAGAGAATGAAGCCGCAAAGGGTAGAAAGATGGCGGAAGGGAAACGGCGCGTCAAATGATCGAGGATGTTGGGAAAGTACCTTGAAGAGGGATGGTATCCCTATCACAGGGTAGACAGTTCGAACCGTCCGGTTCTGTGGGTGACGAAGGGTCAATTGCTGTCTATCGACTGATTTTGGGTAGTGATGTAAATGGGGATTCCAACCGTAAGGTAGGTTCGAGGTACAATTGGGGTCTGGTTGAGGGTGGAATTGGTCTCTGCGCTGCCCTTGACTCTCAGTCGGACTGGACTTCCAATCGGACAGGAAGAATGGAGAGCTTGGAAGCAGGGAAGGCGAGAGGGAGGTGAGCCAAACAGAGGGAAAATTGATAAGAGGGGGGTAAGAGGGAGGGAAGGCAAGAGGGAAATAAGGAAGGAAGGAAGGAAGGAGAGGAAAGGACATACCTGCCATTATCCACAAAATTGTG